ATACTGTGTGTATATATATATATATATATATATATATATAATAGCATAATAAAGCAAATAAAGAGTTTTATTGAGAAGATTATTATTAAGCAACCTTAGCATTGTTATGTAAGCTTATATAATAAGACTTAGATTTTTTTCATAAAATTGCTTATACACATGACATTCTCCTCATTCTACCCTCATTTCCATCCTCTCCTTCTTTTGATGACCCGGGTCGCTCATTTTGGGTGCGTTTTTTTTTTCAGTTCACTTAGCCCAGTTTGCTTACTGTTCTTGTAAGATCTGGCAACAAGTGCACCTTTAAAAATTTTAGCTTTTTACAATGTTACTTTTCCCACCTCACCTGAATATGCAGAGACAACTGTAAGTAATCAATTTGTATGTTGATTCTGAGAAGTATAAATAAAATTTCACAACTTCTCATTACATTTCTGTTCCCTATTCTGTTGCAAATGTACACACCTTTAAAGGAAGATATGCTCTGTCTGCATTAGTGGTATAATGTTGATTACTCCAAAATAATAATAAAAAAAAGGATATAAAATGTAAATGATTGATTTTATAAAAGAAGTTACTCTCTCTCTTCTGTTAAAAAGTTTATATTATTTGAGTTGTACATCTGTCTAAATCATAATTTTTAGCTTTTAGGCGTTACTTTAGCATAACAGCATAACAGTTTTTTTAAATTTGATGTAATTTTACACAGAAATGGTTAATAACATTGTTTTTTGGCTATAATATTGAAATAGTATTTCAACATTTTTTGGATTGATTTTCTTCCATTTTAAGTGTCTCACTGTAAGATTTTTGAATTTTTTTAAGGAAAGCAGGGTTACAATTTATTTTTATGTTTTCAGTTTTATGCCGCCGTGGTCAGTATCCCAAAGGTCTGTTGGTCAGGGATCTGTGTCCAGCCAGTTGTCAGGTGTCCTGTTCCCAGAGGGGCTCCTTCAATGATCTGTGTCCTGAAAAGCGACTGATGAAGTCTTTGTTTTCAGCTATGCCTGCATATCCACATTTAATCACCAATTAGCAGCTCCTCTGCATCACATTAAGAGACTTGCTGAAGCGTGCTGTTACAGCTGGCTCTTGATTCTCTGCAAAAATGTATTATTTCATCATTATGAGCTAATACAGAGATAACAGACAAGAGATTAGATGTAGTTAGTCAAGTTAGTTGTGTTGGTCGTTTGTAAAGCTTGATTTTTATTTCAAAATGAGCTACATTTTGTCTTTTGCAGACAGAGAAAATAAAAGCTATATCAAAGAACTCTGAAGCCTGGACAGCAAAGGACTTCTTAGAGGGGAATTAAAACATTAACTTCAGGACTTGTCTTGATCTGTACAGTGTAAACCACTTTGATATCTTCTGAACATATCTCTTATGTGTGTAATCACCACTGAGGCCTTGATATTGCACTAAAATGTAGTCAGTTACCATTTATGGACCACTTTCCATGTTTTTGAGCCGGACCCAAGTTTTTTGGTGTTCCGCTTGAGGCTGAATTACATAACTGAGAACCCCTCTATCTCAGAATACATGCATGACATCCTCTCACAGACTCCTTAAATCTGTGGTTAAGAGGGAATGCAGTAAGGGTGGTGTTGTGAATAAAACAGATATACTGAATTAATCTATTTTTCTGGGTTGATGAAACATAATGCTGTTTAAAAATAAGCCTGTGTCCTTTTAGTGTACTTCTGAAGGAAGACTTATATTCACAGTTTCAAAATGTAGGCAGCAAAATTATACCTTTTTTTTAAGATAGTTTGTTTAACCTAAAGGCATCATCTCATGTATTCTTCTATGGGGAAGCCAATACCATAATGCATGGTTAAAATTGCAATGGAAAAATGTGTTCAGTCCATACTGAAACATATAAAAATTTTTATTTAGGTCTAAATAGACTTATTTTACCCCGAATTATTGTGTGCGGTGTGTTTTATGCTTGGTCCATTGCAACATGCAAACAGCAAGCTCTGTTGAAAATCTGCTGTGATGCCACCTATGTAGAATGTGTCAAATTGGTCACTAATTAGGTTACATTTTATTCAGGATGCTATCGAGGCAGCTCACTAGGTATTGAAGGAACCATTTGTTTTTTAGGTTTAGTTAATATAGTTTTCTTTAGTTAATTAATTTCTGCTTAAAAGAATAGCTCCCCCAAAAATATAAAATCTGTCATCATTTACTCATCCTGAAGTTGTTCCAAACCTGTATGATTGTTTTGTTGTTGTTATTGAACACAAAAGAAGATATTTTGAAGAATGTTGGTCATCAAAAAGTTGACAGTAGCTATTGACTTCCACATTATTTTTTTCCATACTATGGAAGTCAATGGCTACCGGCAATTGTTTGGTTACCCACATTTTTCAAAATATATTCATACCGTGAAAAAAAAAAAAAGACTCATACCGATTTGTTACAACTTCAGAGTAAATGATGACAAAATTTTCATTTTTGTGTGAACTGTACATTTAAATTTGTGAATTTACTCCTTAACTTACATTAACATAACATTAACTTAAGAAGCAAAATTGCATAAGAAAATAAGTGAAAGATAAAGTTTAAGTTTATATTTTATGCTGTTGCCAATTTTTTTTCTTGTTGTAAGCTTAAATTTTGTTTGATTTAAAAATCAAGTCCTGATGCAGTTTTTTGCTTATCAAGTAAACATCTTTTTTTAAGGATGTCTGGATATTTTTGCAGTGTACGCATAACAAAACTAATGAAAAGAGAAGAAGCAATGGATATTTGGTGATTTATTGCAAACGCTAACACAAAGGAGCTAAGCATTTCATCAATTCAGTCTGTGGGACTTTGACATTGGCCTCTAGGGGTTTCTATTGTTTTATCAGCTAATTTTTCTTTATCTATCCTCCAGGACCAGCCTGCAAGTCAGCATCCCCTAAACTGGAGCGTGAGGAGCCCAAGTCCGAAAAACTGCTGGATAAGGCCAGCGAGAGCGGAGCCTCATTGAACGAGCTCTCCACATCCAGCTCCGAGACCCACTCAGAAGCCACGTCCCCCCAGGACGGGGGTCCCATCTTGGTGTCACGCGGTGAGGTTGTGGGGGGCTCGCTGGCCCCGTGTGGCGCCCTGCACTCTGTTTCTCGACCTCCAAGCACTCTTACTCTGGGCCGACCGCCCAAGAAAGGTTCCTCGGTGCAGTGGATGGAGCTGCCGGATAAGAGGAGGAACAGCGAGCTGTTCCAGTCCCTCACCAGCGGGGTTGGTCCGCGGGAAGGTGTGGGAAGTGGTCTGACCCGGAGGAAGACTCTGGAGAGGCCCAGCGTGGAGGAGGAAATGAAACAGTGTATCCGAGATTTCCGAAAGATCAAGATCCCTCCGGCGTTCCCAGAGCGCAAAAGGCAGTGGCAGTCAGAACTGCTTCAGAAATACGGCCTTTAAAGGAAACTCAGGATAGGCGACTGGTTTAAACTATCCAACTGATTCACAATCTCGCACAATAGATTGCCCAACAGACTTTAAAGTCCTCAAAGGCCTTGATTCACACTGAGAAACCAAACGATTGAGTATCAGAAAAGAGAAGGAAGGAACTTGAGCCAATGAAACATGTTCCACTTTGCTCCATTTTTGTTCAGATTGACAGCACCATTCATATCTTTGAACTAGACTTTAAAAACCTACCAAAAAGTGGTGATGGAGCACATTTCGATGAAAAGCCATTCCATCTAGAGTCATCTATATAAACCTTTCCATTGTCCAGAAGGTCTGCACACAGGGCTCATAGTATAAACTACTGAACTGACAGACAGCGTCGGCTATCTTATGTAGCCAAAGTGGGAAGTAAATTCTTGTTGTGTCCAAAAGAGAGATGTCACTGTGCATTAACTAATTGTTCAGTTTGGTTCTATACAAATGATGCAGATTTAATGTAAATGCGGTTGTCTCAACCTACCTTTGTTTCAAAGATTAATTTAGTTGTAGATGAAATGGTCTGTCTTCTGTATACATATATTAGGGCTACCAAACTATTTAAAATGTTAATCAGATTACCATATGCTGATTAGTTCATCAAATTGCAATTAATCACATATACAGTGCTTTCAGAAAGTATTCAGACCCCCTACACTTTTTTCAATTTTGTTATGTTACTTTGGGATGGTACTCTGCAGGTGATGAACAATGCCTGGTTTCCTTCAAACATGATGATTAAAATTGAGGTTCATCAGACCAGAGAATCTTGTTTCTCAGAGTCTGAGGGTCCTTTCTGGTGCTTTTATGTGTTTTGCACTGAGGAGAGGCTTCCGTCTAGCCACTCTGCCATAAAGCCCAGATCGGTGGAGGGCTGCAGTGATGGTTGTCCTTCTGGAACTTTGTCCCATCTCCACACAGGATCTCTGGAGCTCAATCAGAGTGACTATCGGGTTTTTGGTCACCTCTCTTACTAATCAATTGCTCAGTTTGGCTGGGAGATCAGTTCTTGGAAGAGTCCTGGTTGTGCCAAACTTCTTCCATTTGAGAATTATGGAAGCCACTGTGCTCTTGGGAACCTTCAGTGCAGCAGAAATGTTTTGTATTCTTCCCCAGATCTTTGCCTCGTTACAATCCTGTCTCTGAGCTCTGCAGGCAGTTCCTTTGACATCATGGCTTGGTTTTCGCTCTGATATGCATCGTCAACTGTGAGGCCTTTTATAGAGAGGTGTGTGCCTTTCCAAATCATGTCCAATCAATTTAATTTAACGCAAGTGGACTCCAATGAAGGTGTAGAAACATCTCAGCAATGATCAAGAGAAATGGGAGGCACCTGAGTTAAATTTCAAGTGTTGTTGCTTATGTAAATGTGATATTTCAGTTTTTTCTTTTTTATAAATTTACAGACATTTCTAAAATTCTGTTTTCACTTTGTCATTATGAGGTACGGAGTGTAGATAGTAGTATCAGGCTGCAACATAACAAAATTGAAAAAAGTGAAGGGGGACTGAATACTTTCTGAATGCACTGTATATCAGCATTTGTTAAAGAAAGCCCCCATTTTTCAGTCGTCTTTCAATCAGTATGTATTCAATCAGTCTGTCCTAGGCTTACATATGTGCCATTTCTTAATTTTTAGTTTATGTACACAAGTTCCAGATGGGTGTCTTTGGATGTTGCATTATTTCTTATGTCATATCTGTTTTTTTCAATATGTGTCAATTCAAAACTGTTTTATGTGTCTTAAGACACTTTCATGAACGTCTTGAACACAAAAAGAAAAACATGTCCTTTGTGAGCGACTCTTTTGTCGTTCTGTGCTGCTTGCTCTTGGTTAAGTCTGGTGATTAAATGTGTTCATTTTTTGGAATGAATTACACTATATGGATGTTAAATTGACAGCCCTAATATATATATAACTCTATACAATATAAATATATAAAAAATATAGCTGTATATTTGCTGAGAATCATCAAACTAGAATTGGAAGGTATGATGAATGAGTTACACATGATCTAAAATCTTAACTGGAATATGAGGTTGTTGGAATTTTATATTAGCTATGTATAATGAGCACAGAAATATAATATAATGGATAAATTATCTTGTCATTCCATCCCTTTAACTGACCCAATTGTTGCATTTATATGATGGACTACTATAAACATCTGCGCACTGGTTCTTCTCTGTGTGAGGTTTCTCTGACTGATGCCTGGAAATTGTCCATTGTCTGGGCCGCTTTTGCTATGAGTTTTGTGCCATTCATTTTCCAAATGTTTGTGTGTGTGTGTGTGTGTGCGCTTCTGTCCATATTTGTGCACACACTTTTCTTTATGTACTTTTCTATCATTTATGAAGGAAATTTTGATTTTGAATCACAAAAAAGAAGGATTGCTACAAATTGCTATTCATAAAAAACCTATTGTTGGTCCAGAGCTGATAATGGAGAAGACCAGGAGTTGACCTCCAATGATGCATGTCCACGTTGGTTCCTTTACAGTTTTTCTCAGTGCAAAACCTTAATGTGAAATCATCTTCAAGAATTGATCTTCTTAACACAGATTAATCTAAGTTTAAGCCTAGCGAGATTTCTTTTTAAATGAAAATAGCTATGGCGTTGAGCCAGTAGCCTAATCCACGTGCAGAAAATGGTTCCAAGATATTGTTTATGGCAGAGCGTCATTCCAGACTTGGGGAATGATCTTTCCATCTGCCGTAGGCTGCGTATCAAATGTTAGTGAGCATTCACAGTGCATTTCCATCTCCATAAAGACTTGTATTTGAGAGATATTAGATGATTGACGTCTAATTGATGTGTGCGGTGTTCTGTGCACGTTTAAAGCACAAAATTCTGTTAATGCCGGTTTGAGACATGATATGGTCTCAATCCAGGACACAGGTTTGAAAAGCACAAGGCACAGTTGACCCTTATCCTAGAATTATAATGTTTAATGGGTTTAAATCAGGACAAAGTGTTAGTCTACTGTGAAACCTGAATGCTCCAAAATCCAATGTTATATCTGTTGATTTGCCTCAGTGTCCTGTAATAAAGGTGTCATGTTTTGATGGGCGATTTAATGTGCAATTTCCTTATTTCATTTAGAGTGATATTTTTAGATTTTTTAATCCCTTGGTAATTTACTAAAATATTCACCTTCACCTTCAACTGTTTGTTTATTTATTTATTTTTGCTCAAGAAAAGGTCAATACCAGCCTTTTCCTGACTTTTTTTGAGACAACAAAGCATGTGCCTGCTATTCATCCTGACAGAACAGTGTTGCCATGTCCTCTTATTATATAGTTGCATTTAATGACCTTTTTCCAGAATAGTCACTCATTTTGACTTGCTATAGCATAGTTCTTGGCAGCTGTCAAACCTCCCCCCTCTACATAATGTTTCTCATTTCATCCTGTGTTTCTGCCTTTTCCAGATCATCCCCACTTTTTCCATTCCTGAGAGGGAATTATGTATTGATTTGGATAGCCAGTTGTCTAAGTTTTGTATATGTAACATTTTATTTCTTTTAATTTTAAAAAGTAATTTTTGAAAATATTTTATTTGCAGGAAGTTATAGTTTAGCTATGTGTGTTTTTGCACTTTTTTGCAGTCCACAAATGAACATAACACAAAAATGTTGCTTATTTAGGTGAGGAAAGTCACTTATTTTGACTACATTTTCTTGTTAACACTGTGATGGTAAGTTGTTGTTAAAATGCATCTCTTTTGTAAGTTTTAAGCTGTATCCTCACATTTCAACACAGTCAGATATGATTAAAAACATTTATAAAACCAGGCTATATCAAGGGCAGCCAGGATCCTAAACGTCCTCTTTCCATATTTAACCTCCAACAAGGCCTCACATCCTCTGGTGAGTTTTGATTGATTTTTTTATATTTTATTTTATTTTATTTTTTTCATTTTAAATATTTATGCTTGCTTATATTTTCTGTCACAACTGTATGTCGGCTTTGTCACCCAAAGTGTAATGAAATGGTTTGAGATGTTTTCTCAATTATAACTTAAACTTAAATGCTATATGTATCAGTGCTTATATGAAATATTGTACATAACACATTGAATTGTAAGGAGATTGCATTAAAGCAACCAGCAGTTTGGACCAGCTAGAAACCAGCTGCCAACTTCCAAAACACCTTAAGCTGGTTTTGGCTGTATTTTCCAGCAGGGATTGCTTCAACAAAAACTTCATGGCATTTCCCCTTTCTCAGATAGCTGGTAAGTCCTCGAGAGCATAATTATGCTGAGAAGAAGCAGACAGTTTTATTATTAATATAAGTGGAGACTTCATTTAGGCTGAGTCTTAACTTTGTCATCCGAGGCTTTTCTCTTCAGCTCGGCCTAATCATTTCAGACATCGGAAATGATGCTTGTCATGGAGGCGCTGATACTTTTAGCCGTGTAATCAGTCAGGCAGATCTCACATAGTTTATTCATACCTGTCAAAATGACCTCTGTCTTATATTTGGGATACAGTAATCAGTGATTTAAAGTGAGTCATCATCCTTGTCATTCCTGAAGCTCTTTCCTGGAAGTGTTTCTGCAGTTTGGCTTGAGTTACTGTCAAAAAAAAAAAAAAAAAAGCTACAAAACTGCTATTTTGCCATGTATAAGTTATCTGTAGATGGGTAGTTGATGTGAGGGTTTTTACATGTTAGCTTGACCCGGTTAGCACTGCTAGTAGATGGCATAACTACACCATCCAGACCCAAAATGCTTTTTTTCTTTATTGATCCCCCCCCCCCAAATCTAAAGTATCCATTTAAAAGTATCAGTTTCTAACTAAATAAATATGTTACCCTGGACCACAAATCCAGTCATAAGGGTCCATTTAAAAAAAAAAAATTTGTGATTTATGAAAAATGATTTATACATCATCTGAAAGCTGAATAAATAATCTTTCCATTGATTCGTGGTTTATTAGGATAGGATAATATTTGGCCAAGATACAACTATTTGATCATCTGGAATCTGAGGGTGCAAAAAAAAATCTAAATATTGAGAAAATCGCCTTTAAAGTTGTCCAAATTAATTTCTATGCATATTACTAAATTAAAGTTTTGATATATTTATGGTAGGAAATTTACAAAATATCTTCATGGAACATGATCTTTACTTAATATCCTAATAATTTTTGGCATAAAAGAAAAATCAATAATTTTGAACCATACAATGTATTTTTGGCTATTGCTACAAATATAGGCTACCCATACTACTTATGACTGGTTTTGTGGTCCAGGGTCACATAAAGATTAGTCATGCCAATGTCTTGAGAAGAAAATATAGGCCTACTTCAAAAAAAAATCTCGAAAAATATATCTCAAAATCTTTGGAAATTAAACAGACAAACAAATGATTACCGGCTCTCAAAGAACTAAAACCTTCTGACATTTGACATTTGTGTGTTAATGGAGAAAGAGCTCTGTCTAAATGTTGTTTCAAATGGAAATTAAAAAGACAGAACTATTATTGTGTGGAGTCTGGCATTTTAAAGTGAAAGATGGAGAAACAATTCTTGGAAAGGCTGAGCACTTCTGCTTCCATTAAGTACGAGTCAGTGAGAGAATGAATCAAATGTTCAGAC